ACTCCCCGCTGAGCAGGGAGCCCGATGCGGGACTCGATCCCGGGACTCCAGGATCATGACCTGAGCTGAAGGCAGTCGCTTAACCAACTGGGCCACCCAGGCGCCCTATTCTTGTCCTTAAAATGAGAATATAATTAGGATTTATTTAAGATTTTATATTTAAGTAATCTTTACACCCAACATGGGGCTTGAACTCATGATCCTGAGACCAAGAGTCGTGTAGTCCACTGACTGAGCCAGCCAGGCACCCTCAAGAGTATAATTAGGATTTTATTTTGTTTCATTTTTAAAAAGATTTTATTTCAGAGAGAGCGAACAAGAGAGCACAAGTGGAGGGAGCAGCAGAGAGAGAAGCAGACTCCCCACTGAGCAGAGAGCCCGACGTGGGGCTCGATCCCAGGACCCCAGGATCATGACCTGAGCTGAAGGCAGATGCTTAACCAGCTGAACCACCCAGGTGCCCCTAATTAGGATTTTAATCTAGGATTCCCATTTGACTTTATGTCAATGACTACCTTCCTCTTTTCTAAAATTTCTAATCATGTTTATTGTTTTGTTTCATGCTGGTGAATTGTCTAAAAACAGAACCCTGATAGGTAGTTTGCTGGCTTCGGTGGTAAACCCTCCCAGCACCAGTAGCCAGCTTGTGTGGAGTTTCAGCACGCCACTGACATTCAAACACACTTAAAGCCTTTTATCATGCCATTACATAAAAGTAGTTTTATCTGGGGTGAATTTGATCTTGTTTGCACTCTTTCTTAGCACAGATTTCTTCCCCCTGACAATCCACAGGTGGGCTTAGCAGTTGGCTCCATCCAGCTCCTGCCCTTTTGACTTTTATTCTAGAACCAGGTCTGCTGACATTCGATAATCTGGGGATATCACAGAACAAGCAGAGTCAACAGGATTGTGTCAACTGCCTGTTCTAAGAGGGGGTGGGTGGTCCAAGTCCTTCCACCGCCTTCATGGGTCTGGGTCTTAATAAAAGTCTCCCAGCCAGCCAGTGTGCAGGTCAAGTTCCAGTCCGGCTCCCTCCCAGCAGCGCGCCTGGCTTTGGTTCCGGTCTTGTATGCAGTGCTTCCAGTGTCCTCTACTCCACAGGACCCAACAGCCGGTAGCTATTCTGTTTCTGGACCAGAGCCCAGCAAGCTTTTGGCTTCAGCTCTGCCTCAGCACTTGGCATTTTTACCCCATTGCTGGTCCACAGAAACATTCACCTTGTTTTTGGGTCAGGCAGTGTTTTCTGGTTTTTACCTTTTCTGTATCACTGTTGTTTTGGGCTCAAAATGGGTATCACTTAACTGGAACGCTGGTGCCCTACCTGGCCTCCTCCTTCTCCTCCCCTTGCCCTGTCTTCCTTGAGTACTTCTTCTCCCCTCTTCTTGTCCCCCATCTCTCTGCAATCTGGCTCCCCTTCTTGCCCACCTTTCTTCTCCAAACCCCTCTCCCACCTTGAGTTTGCATTCAGCCCTCACACACTTGCAGGCACTCTCTTGTACCTGGCCACACCTATAGGGATACCCAGCCTTTCATTCACTCACATCCATTCCCAATGGATCCTTTGTATTCTCACTCCCTGGGGGGCATGGATTCCAGCCCACACCCACAGCTCTGCCACCTACTCACCCTTGACACAACCATAATAATCACTTGCAGCAAATAAGCAGGGAAAAACATTTAAAGATCTAGAAGAATTTAGATAATTTACTCCCCAAGAATTGCCACTACAGGAAACATGAATAAGTAATTTATAATACTGGAATGAGTACAGGATAAATTGGGGTTTATGACACTGGGATGAGGAAAACTTTTCTAGCCATGACATAAATCCAGATTTCTTAAAAATGAAATCCGAGTAACATTAAAATTAAACTTTCGTGTAATGTTATGAAAAATGAGTTTGTAAAGACAAACTAGGAAAACATCCACCACTTAAGATAAAGTCTAATTTCCTTAAAATAGCAGTGGCTTAAAATCATTAAGGACCGACAATCCAATAGTAAAATGATGAGGCAAGAATGGGCAGCACCCCAAAAGACAAAATACAAATATCCAATAAACTGAAATTTTACCAAAGCTCACTAAAGACAAAATGCAATGATGCCATTTATTTTTGCTACTCAAACTGGCAAATTTGTAAAAATTGATAATATAGAGGATTGGCAAGTAGGAAAGAAAATAGGTATTTTCATATCACTACAATAATGTAAATTGGTAAAAACTTTTTGGCAGGGTAAATTGGGAACGGATTAAAATCATAAAGGTCTCCACTCTCTGACCCAGCACCTATACTTCCAGGAATAGATCCTACAGCGACTTTCACAGGGCAGAGGTGAGTGAGGCTGCACGCTGTGGCACCATGCCCACCTCCCGTGCCTGTCACTAGAGGGGCCATGAACTAAACGCTGGGGCAGCTAATGCTAGAGCAATGCCATTGCCAAGAGTGAGGTGGGCCTGTGTGCAGGACATGTCACATGTCCAAGATACGCTGCTAAGTAAAGAGGCAGGGTGCACAAAAGCCTGAATAGGATGTCTCGTTTTTGTAAAAAAGTGGCTATATAAACAGAAGGAAATATATCAAATGTTCACCAAAATGCTAATGGTGATTCCAGAAAGGTGGGGATAGAGAGCACTTGCACCTTATATATGTATATATGCATACACACACACCTTTTTAATGAGCATATATTAGTCTAATTAGCAGAAAAATACAAATAAAAATGAATCATGATTAGTAAAGCCTTTCATAATTACTTTAAAATTTCTGAACATAATGAATGATGGGTATAGCTCAAATTTATCTATCCTTATTCATACAGATGACCTCTGAATTAAGGTAACCAACAGGTCCACTATTACAGATAAAGAGCACTATAAGAGTTTTCACTTGGTCATAACTTCCTTTCCAAACTCTGCTGATTGCCTCCAGGCACAGTGTGACTCCCCATGGACAAGAACCAACTCACGTGGCCAGGTGTGTGTCAGAAGCTCACCCAGTGTCTCCCGGCCGCCATGACTGACTCCCAGTGCCTGAGCAAACACAGAACTGCAGGAAGAGGAAGGTCCAGATTCTCAAAGGATTCATCTACCCTTGCCAGACCAATCTCTCTGAAGATGCACTGACTTCCGTGTTTCTCTCTAAATCGGAGGTTTACAAAGTACCCAAGATGCTCACCCAGAGAGAAACAGGGACATCCTCTGGCACAGAAAAGAGAGGTAAAAGGGATCAGCGGGAACATCTCTGGATTCAGGAGAAGGAAGATGGCCCCAAAGGCAGGAGACATTGGTGGCAGGTCTCCAGTCAGGGACCGAGAAGGGGGAGAGCTCAAGGGTCTCTCTGCCGCTGCTCCCCACATTCCATCCGTGCAGTGGGGCTCACACGCCTGTGCTGTGAAGCCTCTCCCACGCTCTACATCTACCATTTCCGCAGGGGTGGGGGTTGGTCCTATCACCCCAGCAACAAAACAAGCAGGGGATCCTAGGCTCAGCGATTATCCATAGCGACCAGATTATTATAAGATGGGGAAAAACCATGGCTTAAGGGGGGGGGCAGGGGGAGGACTACATTTTCCGAAATGCAAAATTTTCCTTCTACCTTCCCCCATCAGTTGCGCAATTTTTGTCTAGTCCAAACGTAATTTAAAATGAGGTAGGTAGTTTCTCTCTCCTCTGCCTTTGTCTTTGTGGTGACTGTCGAGGCCTGTGCCGTGAAAGCACCGGTCTCCCGTGCAGGCGGAGTGCCGGGGGTGGGCACTGGCGACTAGTGGAGCGTCTCAGTTGGCTATCTTCTCAATCTCGTCCAAATCATCCGTGTCCAATCTTTCTATTTTCTTATCTGGGGAGAAAAATGAGAATTCAGAGAGAAATCAACGCGGGGCTCCCATGGAGACACACACCTAGGGAAGGGAGAGCACGGCAGGGAGAGAGGAAACACACAGGGTTCTGCCCGGCCTAGGAACGGGGCCATGCCTCTGGCCACAGCCATCTTTCCCTTGACCCCAAAGACTCCCGGTGCCTGAGCGAGGGACAGAGCCCTAGGCCCTTCAGCCTGACCGGGGGGCACTGTCATTCGAGTCCCTGGCCCTGAAAACTCGCCAGGTGTGCTCTTTGAGACTTCCACACTGTAGGAAAGGAGGGGACTGTTAACAGGGACACAGGCTTCTCTCGGGGCCACGGGAGGACCCCTTTCCCCCCCCTCCCTTGGACTTCCCCTGTAAGGAAAGGGCCCTGGCGGGGGCGACTCCCAACCACTCACTAAAATGCTCCTGGATTCTGTTGAGGATGTTCATGCTGTGCTTGCTGTCAACCATGTTCACTGCCAGGCCCCTCTTGCCAAAGCGGCCCGTGCGCCCGATCCGGTGCAGGTAGGTCTCGTTGTCCGGGTTCCCATCCTTGTCCACGGGGAGGTCAAAGTTGATGACGACAGAAACCTGTTCGACATCAATACCTGCATGAAAGACAGGTGGAGAGGAGTCAGGACGGGAGACGAAAACCACCGCCAACCAAGCGAGGCCAACACGCACCAGCTTCAGGTGGAAGGAAGAGTCCGGGGCAGGCCGGCTGTGGGATTCGGGGACGGGGGCATGCAGCAGAACCCAGAGGGAAAAACAGAACTTGGGCAGGTGCTAACAAAATTACACCGCCAGTGAGCGAGCCTCTGCTAGACACCAGTACCTGGAGATGCAGCCAGAACCTCAGTGGGGGCCCCAGAGAGAGCAAGCACCGTCCTGAACCAGTGAGATGCTGGTGCGTGGCCTTCCAGCATCGGGGCCCCTGGCTTCTGTGACAGTTCTTATCTGCCGGGGGAATCCAGTCTCTCCAGCACCAACCCACGTGGACTCCCTCAAACCAGCAGAGTGCCCCGTACAGGACGACTTCCCTGGCGACCCGGGGCCTGGCGGACAGACGCATTCCCTGCTCACCGCGGGCACACACGTTGGTGGTCACCAGCACCTTCTCTTTGCCCTCTCGGAAGCGCTCGATCACCGCAGCCCTCTGCTCCACCATCATTTCGCCACTCAGCAGGGCCACCTGGTGGCCTTCTTTTGAGAGCTCTGCTGCCAGCCAGCTCGCTGTTTTGCGGGTCTGGAGTGAACAGAATTGTTTTAAATGAATGTTTTTAATGTTTAAAAAAAAATCTGCAAAAAAGTGGTTTATTGCCATTAAAGTACATGAAGACCTGCTGAGTTGAGTCAGCAGGAAAGGCTTACCAATTTCACAAATAATTTTAGCCATGTCTTTTTTTTTTTTTTGATGAATTACTTAAATCATTTTAGTGTTCAGCTAGGAAGAGTGAGGTGTGAGCCAAAGGTCTTCATTCTCAAATAATCTATATTCATAATGTTTTATAATTATTTCATTGGATGTTATCTGGAGTATTTTCCAAGTTATCTCTAAGAAGTAGAACCAAATAAGGTTCAATTCTTCACAGTCTTTCCCTCATAACTCATTACAATCTGAGAATACTCCCTGAGGCAGGTGGAGGCGATTCATCATTTCCTTTCTGGCCACACAGGGCACCTGGTCCTCCTCAGCACTGACGGGGAGCAGGCTGAGAGGAGGGGCAGGCACCCCCTCCGGTGCAGCTCCTCCCCCGGCAGGCCTGCCGCCTCCACTGCTACTCACATGGCAGAAGATCATGGCCTGAGCAATGGTGATGGCCCCGTAGAGGTTACACAAGGCCTGGAACTTCTCATCTCTGTTATTGCACAGGACGTAATACTGCTTGATGGTGTCCAACGTCTCCTCCTCGCGCTTCAGTTTGATAATGTTTGGGTCTGGGACCACTTTCTGGGCAAATTTCCATACGGAGTCTTCGAAGGTGGCAGAGAAAAGCAGCATCTGGCAGTTCCTGGGCAGCATCCTGCAAGGGAAGACCCAGGTATGTGGCATGATCCCGAGTCTTTCCCTGGAAGGAACAGAAGAAAGCCGTCCCGGCTTGCATGGTCTGCATGCCCAGGAAAGTGGCAAAAGGGGGAGGAGAACAGCAGGGAGGAGGTGAGAGCAGCCATGGGGCAGGAATGGGGCTGGTGTTAGATTCCCTAAGTCTCCTTCCTCAACCCACGGTCAGTGCTGATGAGGAAACAGCCCATCGAACAAATGCTTCTGGAAGGTCTAAAGTAAAGAACCTGACAGGAGCAAGAAGAGGTGTTTGAAGTAAAAGGAAAAGATGCTGCAGATCAGGAGGCTGAGAAGTTCCTCTTGGCTCAAGAGTTCCTACCTCTGGATGCGGATGCTCTGATCTTGGTGGCCCTGAGTAGCTATCATCACGTCAGCCTCATCCAGAACAAACACCTTGATCTTCTTGGGGTCGATGAACTTGAGCTTGGCGCACCAGTCCAGAACAGTCCCAGGGGTGCCAATGACAATGTGTTCACTGATCTTCTGACCTCTTTCCACTGTGGAGACAAGATGTTTTCTGTGGGTATTTCCATGGTAAAGCCAGCTTTGGAAATCAAAGCCTTGCCCATCCTTCCAGAGTTAGTAAAACAAGTTAATTCCAGATGTCAAAACATACACACAGGAGTGTTATCCAAAGGTCTTGGGTTCTTCTACTGTAAAGTAGGCACAATGGCACCCATCTCACTGCATCGTGGTCAGGACTCAATCCTCTGAAGTGAACCCTCAATAAGCACCAAGTCCCCTTCCTGCTTCCTCCTGTGATTCAACAGCATCCCACTCATTCTCCTCAGTGCCATTCTTACTCACTTTACATCATACATTCACTCACGGGTCACAGATTTTTCTTCAATTGTAGTTTTGAGTCCCAGGATCCTGGTCCAATGAGTTTTTGCTTTGTTAGACATTCTAATGTGTAGACAGTTTTTCTAAGTACAAATTCTCTGGTTTAAAAAAACATGTTACTCTCGGGGCGCCTGGGTGGCTCAGATGGTTAAGCATCTGCCTTCGGCTCAGGTCAGGATCCCAGGGTCCTGGGATCGAGTCCCGCATCGGGCTCCCTGCTCCTTGGGAGCCTGCTTCCCCCTCTGCTTCTCTCTCTCTCTCTCTCTCTCCCCCTCTGTCTCTCATGAATAAATAAATAAAATCTTTAAAAAATAAAAATAAAAAAAAAACATGTTACTCTCGAATTATAGCTGGTGGGAGCTGAAACTGGCACAGCCATCTATCAAAATTACTAATGCACACAGCCTGTGACCAATACTCCATGATTAAGAATTAACCCTGTGTGTATATTAACATGTGTGAAATAACACATATGCAAGGATATGCAAGCATCACAAGGTAACTAATGAAGCAAAATATGATACACCAAATGGATGAGGCCAGTAAAAGTAAAAAACTGCTTAGGAACTGATATGGAACAATCTCCAAAATACATTATTAAATGTGAAAAAAAGTTGCAGAGCAGTTTGCATACCAAAAGAGGCAAAAAAGAATACATGTAACACATGTCCATGTGTAAGTGTACACATGTTAACATATTTATACATACTATGTGCCTGGAGCCACACAGAATATCTCTGGTGTGCCACATGAGAAACTGGTTAGTACTGAGGGCCTGTAGGAAGGAGAACTAGGTGGTTTGGGGTATAGAAAGAAATTTCTACCACATGGCCTTTCAATTTAAACATGCAAATGTGTTAACTATTTTAAAAACAAAATTTAAAATTTGAGAAGAAGGGTCTTTCAATAGAAATTCATCAACTACCCACTGGAAAAATTTTGAATTAACTCAAACACATCGTAGTTCTCAACTTCCACTGCCCATAAGTCCAAAATGAACTTTTAAGAAATAAGTATAAAAGTAAGTACAATTAATATATTAACCCTTCACACATAGTGAAGTCCCATTTATTACAAAACAATCTAGAGAAGATATATGTTATTACAAGATTCTGGTAACTTCACTTAGATGTACCCACCAGTGTGAGGCATCAAATAAACACACAAATTACATAATCAACCTAGTAACTTTTGGGTAAGGTAGTTTTGCTGCATGCCAAAGCATGATGGTTTTCTCCAGGAAAAGCTCTGTGATCGTGTGGTGAGCTGAACTAGCCATTTCTCTCTGTGGACTGACAAACTATAGAAAACGAAGCCGGGAATTTGATACCCACTTTCTTGAAAATGAACAGGCTGTCTCTTCAATGAAAACAATCCACTGTATTTGCTGCCACAATAACATTTAAGCTTTCGAGAGAAAATTAGCATTTTGGAAGACTTGTATGTGCCACTAAATTTGAATTTCTTGATGTACATAAAGTCCTCTGATGAGTTTGGTGGTAATATTAGGGCAAGCAATTTAAAAAGTTTGTATGATAAGATGTCTCAACATTTAGAACTGTGTAACTCAGTAAGACAGTAGTTTCCAAGAGAACAAGGTATTTTAATGTAATAGTACGAAAAATTCAGTAACAAGATTTCAGTTTCCAGACTAGAACTAACTCTTAAGTAATTACCACTTGGTAAGTTTTGGTATAGCATCCAAAAAGGGTATCTAAAATTATTTGAAAGGCCAGATTGTCTTCATATTCTTCAAAAGTAAGTTCTTTAAAAATTTCTTAATTTTAGCTTCTAATATGGCAAATATCAACAGATAAAACCTGTATAAACAAAAACGCTTTGGAGTCCTCAGTAATGTTTAAGAGTGTAAGAAACCAAAAAGTTTGAGAATCACTGCTCCAGGCAATTATAAACTGCTGGATCAAAGGAAGGTCTGTCGTACGTTTCCTAAGCAATGCCAAACTGCTTCCAGAAAGTAACTGTACCAGTGTATACCCCCCACCAGGAGTGTATGGGCATTCATTCTTGGACGTCTCCATCAATACTTATCAGACTTCATCATTTCTGTCCACCTGAGAGGCATATAGTGGTTTTAACTTAGATTTCTCTGATGACAAATGAGGTTTATTTATCATCTCCTCATATTTACTGGACATCTGAATCCCTTCTTTTGTGAAGTGTCTGTTCAACTGGGCCTCTTTTCCTATTGACTGCTTACTTTTTCCTTACTGACTTGTAGTTTTATATACTGTGATAACTTTTTTAATGAACTGTTTTCTACCTGCCCCTCCTCTCTACTTTAGTCCATGTTCTCTACATTACATTCTGTAGAACACAAGGGAGAAAAAACTGGTGGAAGGATTTCTGGTTTTGATAACACCAAGTTATCTGTATGTGCTTCTAGTTTACTCTTACTAAAGCTGTGCTTGTTTTTAAACAAAGGGATATGACTCCAACCTACCATCCTCACACCTACTAATCCCTTGTTAGGAATAAGCAGCTTCCAGAACTCTGCATGCTGAATTCAAAACCCTGCTTTCTCAGTGAAGAATGCCAGACTTTAAGAAATCCATGACCCATACAAAGATTTTTACAACTCAAAATCTTCTTTTAAGAGTAGAAACGACTGTTAAATAGCAAGTTTAAAACCGATTTGCTGAAAGTAATGCAGTGGGCCCTAAGGTCAACTGAACCAGAAAGTTTAATATCATCATCACATCTTCAAAATTCAAACACCCAACCACCCTATCCTGCTCACTGCTTAGGTCTCACCCCTTTATACTTACATTTATTGCCTCGAACAGCATAAGCAAGCTTTAGTTCTGGATGAAATTTGCCCATTTGCTCAATCACTTTTCCCGTTTGAAGAGCCAGCTCATATGTTGGGGAGAGGCACAAACACTGACAGGGAGATCATAAAGGTTGAGTTTAGGAGAGTTTCTTAGTAATAAACAGGCCCTAAAGCAACAATATGCTGATCTAATCACTACTCAAAAGTGCAGGGAACCACATCCTCTCCAACCAGGTTGCCTTTAGCAGCGAGCCCTGGCTGGGTGGATCCCTTCAGAAGTCACTGTTTAAGACCGCTGCTTCCGAATGAATTCTACCCAGATCGTGGCCTAGTGCTCAGTGCTCTGCCTGAGCCACAGGAAACATTCTGACCCCTTTAGGGGCACCCTCATTAACCGCCCACAAGGTGGCACTGCCTTTCCCAGGGCAGGCAAGCCAGGGCCCTCAGGATCCCCTAGCCCTCACCTGGGGGTATCTCTCTGCTGGTTCCACTCGGCTGAGCATGGCCAGGACGAAGGCAGCTGTTTTACCAGTACCAGACTGAGACTGGGCAATCAGGTTCTGTGGGCTAGATCAAGGAAGAATAGAAATGAAAATAATATTGGTTAAACACAATACAGTGTCAAAAAGTTCTTTCTGGGTGGTAAGCATACGGAGCTTTCTCCCTTTAATCCAGGTTTTCTGCACCGAGCACAATGATAAATTTTTTATATGTTGTCAAAAAACTGCTTAAATATTAAGGGACATAGTGATTTAGATGGGTTCACACCAAGAAATCTTCACTCTAGACTCCAGCACAGATAAGAGTGTCCTAATTTTGTACCCTAGGGGCCCCATGGAAATTAACACTGCAGAGTAAAATCTGTGCCAAAGCAAATCCCCGAAGACATTTTCTGCGGAGCTATAATGTGTCTCCAAGACTTGGCTCCCTCTGTGTGTTCCCTTTCCCTTCTTTATGAAAATGCAAGACACCAAGTCAAACAGATGCTTTAGAGGGAACTTTCACATTTTACTTCACATAAGCCAGTCAGGGAAATAGGTACAATTTTTTTTTTTTTTAAAGATTTTATTTATTTGAGAGAGAGAGGAGAGACAGTGAGCGAGCACAAGAGGAGAGGGAGAAGCGGGCTCTCCGCAGAGCAAGAAGCCCGATGCGGGGCTCGATCCTAGGACCCTAGGATTATGACCTGAGCTGAAGGCAGATGCTTAACCGACTGAGCCACCCAGGCGCCTCAATTTTTGTCATTAAATAAGAGTTGAATGGAAAAGGTTACTACGTAAAGTAGGATGCCAATTATCTACAGTTTAGAAGTCTGCTAGAGTTTCTCTCCTCCTCTGCCACTCCCTGCACTCACTCATGTGTGCTCTCAAATAATCTTTTTTTAAAAAAACCCAATTTTTAAAATTGCACAGAATAACAGCATTAGCTTTCTCTATCAGTTTTAAAATTTTTTTAAAAAGATTTTATTTATTTGAGAGACAGAGGGAGAGAGAGTGCATACACATGAGCAGGGGGAGCCCGATGCGGGGCTCCATCCCAGGACCCTGAGATCATGACCTGAGCCGAAGGCAAACGCTTAACTGACTGAGCCACCCAAGCACCCCTGTTTTAAAGATTTTTATTTATTTTTTAAAGCAATTTCTACACCCAATATGGAGCTTGAACCCACAACCCCAACAGTCACATGCTCTACCGAGCTAGCCAGGTGCCCTCTTCTACATTAGGTTTCTAAAAATTTTTTAAATTTTTAAAAAGATTTATTTATCTGAGAGAGAGAGAAAGAGAGCATGTGCATGTGAGTGGGCGTGTGAGTGGGGAGTGGAGCAGAGGGGGAGGGACAGGGAAAGGGAGAGAATGTCAAGCAGACTCTGTGCTAAGTGTGGAGCCCTATGTGGAGCTCGATCTCACAACCCTGAGAGCATGACCTGAGATCATAATCTGAGCTGAAACCAAGAGTTGGAGGCTCAACTGACTGAGCCACCCAGGTGCCCCATCAGTTTTTACAGTTAAGTGGGAAAGGGAGAAGCTGTACCAAATTCTGACTCTCTCTGCACTTGCTCAAGTGGTTTCCCTGAAGAAACATGCTGTCCCAAACATCCCATCTTGTTCTCAAGAACAGTAACAGTTATTGGTGTAAGACATTAAACAAAATCCTGAGGAAGTACACTTGAGGTCTGCATACTCACGGCTCAGCAAGCATCATGGGTAATGCGTTCTCTTGTATCTTGGATGGTCGATTGAAGCCCATGGCATAGACTCCCTGGAGAAGCTGTGGTTTCCTAGAAGTCCAGGAAGAGAGAGGATGGATTCCTAGTTGTTCAAGTTGTTTTAAAAGCCTAGAATTTTATCTTTCCCAAATCTAGCAAAGTATAAATCTTCCTATCTTTGTCAGACATATTTTTCTAATGCCTTAAAAAATATCTAAAATGAAACCAAGCCACCACCTCTCCCTACTAAATCTTAATCTGCAACTTTTTTTTTTTTTTAAGATTTTATTTATATTTGACAGAGAGCATAAGCAGGGGGAGCAGCAGCAGGAGAGGGAGAAGCAGACTCCCTGCTGAGCAGAGAAACTGATGCGGGGCTCGATCCCAGAACCCTGGTATCATGACCTGAGCCGATGGCAGACGCTTAACTGACTGAGCCACCCAGGTGCCCCTTAATCTGCAACTGTTGTGCAATTCCGAAAATACAGACTAGTTTCCGTTCTTGCAGAAATTCATGCTTTCAGCAGACCCACAAATATGACTGGCTTTGAAGGACAAATGTTCCCTGGATAGCGCAAGAATGGTATGTTTTAATTCATATAAACTTTATAATTTGCATAAAATGAATTATAAAAGGCATATCTAAAAATATACTGCTTACTATACCACTGGGATATAGAAGTCCCTTTAAGGAATGAGATTCAGCTTTAATTTCTTGGGGTAGATGTTAAATTGAACCACAGTCATTTTTTATTCCATGGTCCTTCCAAAGCCAGCTGTGCAAATACTCAGGACAATCAAGAAATGAGAAAATTGATTCAACCGGTTTCTAGTACCTGATTTACAGTAAAGAGGTAGGAGTGTTCAAATACCATACTGAACTTTCCAAATGCTCATATTTAGTTATTATGTCTAGTCAAAAATCAAGAACAGGAAAGCACCAGCTTACGTAAGTAGCTGCACAACAAATATCAACTAAAGTTGTTCTTCCATCGCATTTACAATAAGTTCCCTGCTACCTCCACACTGACAGGGTGTTCAACAAAAATCCCACCAGATTGTAAAGAAGAGTCAAACCAAGTCAAGACTTCTGTTCTCTGAGCCTTCCTTGGAGTAAAGAGGCTCTCTAAGTGGCAAATTCTTCTGGCATATGTTGGTTCTCAGAAACAAAGACCTCTGAAAGCATAACCTTTGGTGTCTTCTGTTTGGAAGAAAAGGCTATGAAGCTCAGCAGATTTTGATTTGGTTGCTAAGGAAACAAAGTCACAACTGAATGAAGATCCAAATGATCCAAGAGCTTCCAGTGGTTCATTATTTTTCTCTTATTTTGCAGGTTAATTCAAAAATTTTAAGTACAAAACAAACCAAGGCAACTTAGATTTCATTCTTTGTTTCCTCTAGCCAACGACTACTAAATCAGAGAGAACTTGACTTTTCAGAGAGGACAGTTCCTCACTGGCTGGACTGAGAGCTCAAGTCCTTTAAATGAAAAGGGGATTAAAAACCATCAATACTTGGAAAAGCAAACTGTCACTTCAGGAAACAAAAGAGCACATCTCACTGCCCTGATATAGTTTATAAACAGAAGCAGAGATGACAGATTCACTGAATGAAGCCCCTGATAGAGGAAATACACATAGAAAAATATAATTTCCTGAGAACATTAAAAAAAAAAAAGCCGTGCTTTAAAAAATTTGTTCTTAGATATCACTTCATTAATGACTTGATTTGGTTTTAGTTAGCTCTCATATTTTAAATGTCTCTTACTCTAAAGCAGTGGTAATAAGTTGGCAAGAATGTAGCGCCTATTTGCCCACAGTGGGCATACTAAAGATTTTACTGATAAGGCAAAGAATCTATTAATTCCACCACTTTTTTATTCACCAGCTATTTTCTATGATTCCGGTCCTGGCAGGCAGCAAGAATGGTAGTTATGTCTTATGTAACTCATGACACCCAGCAGAGTAGCATGTACATAAACCAGGGATTCATAAACGCTTCTTTACTAAATATGCTGAGGGAAACAAAAAACTTGGTATGACCTTCCATAATTCTGCCTTTAAAATAAAGAGATGTTAGAAGTCATTCGTAGCACAGTGCTGTAAACGTGCTCCCTTGTGGCTTAATTCCAGGTTCTGAATTTTTTTTTTAAATTCCTGAATATTGAAGGCTGCTTTCCGCTGTAGGTACTGGGAATCCTGCATAGACTCTTTTGATCGATTATGTAAAAGCAGAAAAAGTGTTCTCAAGACCGTAAACCCTGTAGTCTAACAAAAGGGCTTACCTAATAAGAAATGTTCCTGACATCCAGAAATCACCTGTCAGCCAATATTTTATTGAAAGTTCTAAGAGCATAAAAGAAAAAAGACTTTCAGCTATGATGAATAAATTTGTGGCATTTAAAAATCCCTCCCAAGAGGAGGAGAACTGGGTAGCCAAGAGACAAGGGTGGGAGGGAAACCATCACCGTAAACTTTTCCATACTTTCTCACTTTCGAATCATGTGAATTATTAACCAGTCAAAGAAGCAAATACATTAAGATTCTTAAAAAAACAGATAGAAAGTAAAATTCCCAAAAGAGCTCTGAGATGCTAAGTTTTAGAAAGGCGGGACCAACAAGGAATAGCTGTTCAGGGAACAGACACTCACAGCCGAAGCTCCTCAAAGGACTTCACTGAGTAGAGTGGGGAGTTTGGGTCCCGCTGCAGGACTTCCACCTGGTTTGTGTTATCCACAAGGTTGCTTCTGATCAGCTTGTTGAGTAAGGACTGGGCAGCTCTGTCCTCTGTCAGGAAGAAACCAGCAGGTTGTCTTCATACTCATTTGGCAAACCCACCCTCATGAAATCTCTTTCTCCCTGGCTCTGTACCAGCACCAGGGCAGCCGAGCATGGCTGGAGAAAAACAATCACACCGACAGGTCTCACTTTAGATTCTTGACCACTAGACTCAAACGGGCTGCCCTGCCCTGTAAGTCTTCATGTTTCTATTCTCCACCCATTCACTCTTCTCAGATCTCCACCTTCTCACTCATCTGATGAACCTGTGTCTTCCTTCACAGAGAAGTACAAGTGATCAGAAGCACCTCCACACACTGCGGTAACACACTGACACACCCACCTGCATTTGTGCGCAGATTCTCTGCGTTCCCTCCAGTAACCTGGGATGAACAGCCTGTGCTCAAGGCTAACCCCTGCATTGGTACAACAGGTCCCAGCCCCTCTTGCCTATAAGGGTATTTCTCTCCACACTAACTCCTTGCATTATCGGTTTCCCCCTACACTGGAACACTCCCCCGTCGCATGTGTATGCATCTTAACCTCTCATTATAAACCTGCTTCCTCCTTTATCCCCCATCCAGTTGCTGCCCCATTTCTCTATTCCCCTTTATAGGACACTCCCTGAAAAGGCTATCTACACTCACTGTCCCCACTTCCTGTCCTCCCCTTCTGCTGAATATACACTGAATAGGCTCTTGTATTTAGCCTCTGCACTTGACCTCAAAGGCCCTTGTTGAGCACACCAATGGCTTCTACACTGCTAAATCAAGTGAAGTCCATTTTTATACTTTCTTAATCAATTTATTACCTATATCTGACTACCTACTTTTGAAACACTTCCTTCTTCTGGTTTCTGGATACCCCTCTCTTTTGGTTCTCCTTCTATCTATTTCTCAATCTCCTTTGTGATTCCTCCTCATCTCTTCGATCTAGTGCCTTGGGCTCCAGAAAGGCAAATCCTGGTTCATACGCTGTTTCTTGCTACAGAGTTTTAAAAAGTAATTACCTTTCTCTTCTTCTTCTGTTTTCTCTGCAGTGGCACTGGTTTTAATAACACCTACACAAGAAAACAGGTGTGATCAAAAGAAAGGCAAATTTCAAACCCACCCAAAAGGTGTGACAACAGAAATAATAAATCTTATTTAAGTGATGAAAATATAAGTATTTGGCATTTCTTTATATTTAATGGGTTTTTATTCCTAGAAAGCACATAAGAAAATTTCAACTTTCTAGATATGTTGGCTAACTTCACAGGGCTCAGAATGTCACCTCTGACTTGCTTATCCTATTTTAAAATATACTATTATTTTAGCAAACACAGACATGAGAAAATAAAAATATTAAAAATTAAAAGGAAGAGATAAAATGATCACTTTTTGTGGATTACAGGATTATAAGCCTACAGGACTAAGTATTAACTTAAAAATGACTACAAAATAACATATCTCAGCAAAAGATAAAAATGCTAGGTACAAAATAAATAGAAATCAGTAGCTTTCATAAGTACAGAAATATAACTGAAAAGATACTATTTATAATAGCAACTAAAAAGATGAAATCCTGCACCCAGATTAATGAAGTTAACAAAAAATATGCAAGACTTATGTGGAGAAATCTTTTTAAGATTTTATTTCTGGGCGCCTGGGTGGCTCAGTCGTTAAGCGTCTGCCTTCGGCTCGGGTCATGATCCCAGGGTCCTGGGATCGAGTCCCACATCGGGCTCCCTCCTCGGGCAGAAGCCCACTTCCCCCTCTCCCACTCCCGCTGCTTGTGTTCCTGCTTTCACTATCTCTGTCTCTGTCAAATAAATAAATAGAATCTTTTTTTTTTAAAGATTTTATTTATTTATTTGACAGAGAAAGCACAAGCAGGGGGAGCAGCAAACAGAGGGAGAGGGAGAAGCAGGCTGAGGAGCAGGGAGCCCGATGCAGGGCTCGATCGCAGGACCCTGGGGTCATGACCTGAGCCGAAGGCAGTCGCTTAACCAACTGAGCCACCCAGGCACCCCTATACGGAGAAATCTTTAAAACATTCATAAAATAATGCAAAAAGTATAGCTAAAATGCCAACAGATAAATTAAAGTGGAATTCTAAGATATTCAATTAACCCAAAAGGCAGGAAAAGAGGTAGAGAAACTACGAGAAACAAATCAAATAGTAAAACTGCTTAACTAAACCCACCATATCAACTTTAACCCACCATTTATATTAAATGTAAATGGATACAAAAGGCATCCAAACTGGAAAGGAAGAAGTAAAACTGTCAATATTTCCAGATGACATGGTATTATATATAAAAAGCCTAAAGATGCCATCAAAATAGTGTTAGAACCAATCAATGAATTTAGTAAAGTTCAGGATACAAAAATCAAAACACAAAAATCTGGTGTGTTTCTATACACTAATAATGAGCTACTGGAAAGAGAAATTAAGAAAACAATCCCATTTACAATTGGGTTAAAAAGAACTAAATACCTAGGAATCAATTTTTTTTTGAGATTTTATTTATTTATTTATTTGAGAGAGAGAAACAGCATGAGAGGGGAGAGGGTCAGAGGGAGAAGCAGGCTCCCCGCCGAGCCGGGAGCCTGATGTGGGACTCGATCCCGACCTGAGCCTAAGGCAGTCGCTCAACCAAGTGAGCCACCCAGGCGCCCCCTAGGAATCGATTTAACCAAGGAGGTGAAAGACCTTTATACTAAACACTGTAAGACAATAATGAAAGAAATTGAAGACACAAATAAGCAGGAAGATTTTCCTTACTCCTGGATTGGAAGAATACTGTTAAAATATCTATATATCAAAAGCAATACACAGAATCAATGCAAGCCCTATCAAAATTCCAATGGCATTCTTCACAGAAATAGAACAACTTAAAAATTTGTATGGAACCACAAAAATCCTGAAAAACCAAAGCAATCCCCCCCCCCCAAAGCAATCTTGAGAAAGTAAAACAAAGCTGGAGGCATCATGCTCCCTGATTTCAAACTATATTACAAAGCTACATAATTAAAACAGTATGGTACTTGCATAACAACAGACACATTGACCAATGGAACAGAGCTGAGAACCCAGAAATAAACCCATGCATATATGGTCAACTAATTTATGACAAAGGAGCCAAGAATACACAGTAGAGAAAGGGCAGTCTCTTCAGTAAATGGTGTTGGGAAAAATGGACAGCTATATGTAAAAGAACAGAACTGAACCACTAACCTAACCACACACAAAAATTAACTCAAAATGGATTAAAGACTTGAATGTAAGTTCTGAAACCTTCAGAAGGAACCAACCCTACTGACACCTTGATTTCAGACTTCTGGCCTCAAGAACTACAAGACAATAAACTCTGACTGTTTAAACCACTCAGTTTGTGACCTGGCATGGCAGCCCTAGCAAACTAATAGAGAGTAAGAATGGCTAAATGACAATCTGGGACAAAAAGGAAGCCTTTCACCTGTTTATACTTTGAGTTTTGAATCCAGATTAACTTTTCAAAAAAAAAATTTTAAAGAAACACTATCAAATGAACAGCGGCAGGAGTCAGAGACTAGATAAAATCTGGAAAACTAATGTGTCCTTTTTGGTAATGCAACCGAATCTACTGGCTCTCAAATACAGTGCTGTATTTGAGACAAACATTATGCTAAATGAGAGCGCCTTTTCACACTGCAGCTACTAAGGCAAAGCAGAAGAGCGCGTGCATAGCTTGTATCCAGCTAGTAGTTACAAGTGACTCACCATTGGTATCTGGTTTGACTTTCTCTTCCTTGATTTGCAAATTACTCATCTGAATGGGAATAAAAGGAAACAGAGTTAAGCATGTGACCCAATTAAAGGAAGTCCCTTGAGCAAAGAGAAGTTCCCTAGTGAAAGTCTAGCAGCACCTATATTCAGGGAGCTGTCCTGCTCAAGCAGAATTCCTACAAGCTTGGGTGAAGACATCATTTCATATCTTCAAGAACCTTAAAGGGGGGGGCAGGGGTGGACTAAACACAGCAGATGGGAAAAGTTTGACTTTTCTTCCAACTTATGCTTTCTAGAACATCTACTTTCATTAAATACCTCTGATAGCCTTTCAATAGCACACACACTCACAGTTCCCTTTTTAGTCCTGAAACCCCCACTGTATTAATGTAACACTTAGCAAATAAATTATAGCCTTCTTTCCTGCCTTATCAACCACCTCCACTATGAGTTAGTTAAAAAAGTTATTATGATGAAAAAATCGACAAATTCATACTCCTGATTTAGAATATTTTGGAAACGTGAACGAAAGGTTTTTATTTATTTACTTTGGCTACTAGTCCTGGTCAATGCAAATTTGCTTACTAAGCTGCAAATGAAAGTGCAAGCAGAGCAATAATTTATACATTTGTAATGAAGTCTCCAATCTCATGAGAACTATTTTTCCATATTCAAGGTATTGTTAAGAGTAAGGGTGTGAGGGAGAGCCTGGGTGGCTCAGTCCTTAAGCGCCCGCCTTTGGCTCAGGTCGTGATCCCAGGGTCCTGGGATTGAGCCCCGCATTGGGCTCCCTGCTCATCGGGGAGCCTGCTTCTCCCTCTCACACTCCCCCTGCTTGTGTTCCCTCTCTCGCTATGTCTCTGTCAAATAAATAAATAAAAATCTTTAAAATAAAAAAAATAAATCTTAAAAAAGAGTAAGGGTGTGATACAGAAAGGGTATTATAAAGCTATGTTGTCAGGTTCTGAGAAGCACCCCAAATCAAGCGCTAGACCCCAACCCCTGCCCCCACAATGATCCTTCAAGTGATGCAATCATTCATTATCCTTATGATAACCACCACTGTTTCCTGAGGGTGTTTAGAAATATTTCCTCCTCCCTCCTCCCCTCAACTGACCCTGCTCTTGGTCTTTGGGAGAAGTCCACCCTCACACAGTGGGGATATCATCTCATCTCTTTTGAAAACCAGGTCTTCCAGAGAAAAATCAAATCAACACACTACTGGAGATGGACACCCTTTCCCAAGGCCAGTGGGAAGGTTGGCACATAACAGAGAAGGTATTTTATACCAGAACTTATCCACTGATTAACCCTCATTTTTAGGCTAATACACAGGGATCCACAGAAGCCAACTAATCTTGGGATGGGCTGAAAATGCAAATGAGACAGTCTGGAGTCCCCAAACCAACCAAGTTGATTAATCTCAAAGCCTGCCTGATGAAAATATGGTTATGAAACCATAACCAAATTTATTGTATTATAATTTGACAAATACATGTGCTAACAAAAGATGACATGTTTAGAAGCTAGAAAGATCTAAGAACTTGTCAGCATTTATTTGGCTGCATTCAAGGGGAAAATTACTGGCAGATGAGTATTCCTGTCTTGAGAGACTTAACTCCACCATGGGAAAGAGGCAGGCCAATCAATTCTCATTCTCCTTCACTCTGTATTCATCTTCAGTGAGGAACCTTCTGATTATTAATCATGCCTCTCACAGAAGGCAGTGTCCTTGACGCTGGACACAGGTTTTCAGTTATGATAAAAGCATCCTTCCTCTATCCAAATTAACAGAGTAGCTCTGAAGGGTGGCTAAATTTCCGTTAGTCCCAGAGTCCCTGATCCATGAAGGGGTGAACTCTTAGGCACTCAAAGACACTTCAACAAGGCTTTAAAATCTACCTCTATGACAAGTCTAATTGCAAAAGGGTCAGATTATGTCTCTAAAAGATTCTTAGGGTTGCCTTTGGGTTTTTGTTTTTGGCTGATCACGGAAAGGGAAGGAATTAAACTGGTGATATGGCCAGAAAGAGGTAGCTAAGGAAGCCATTTGTGTTGGAAGAGATGAAAGTGACAAGTGAACTGGCATCAGGTCCTTTCTAGTAATTCAAACTCTCAGAATCTTTTATCAGGGTTCCTAAAAATGCATCCAAACTAAACTGCTGGACATACCGCTCCTTCCCCTCCAAACCCATTTTTATATGCGGGAAGAATCAAGGTACATCCTTGACCACATAAGCTTAAACCAAACAAAAATCCTCACTGTGTGTAAGTTAAGATCTTTTTTAAGATTTTATTTGTCAGAGAGAGAGAGTGCACACAAGCAGGGGGAGTGGCAAGCAGAGGGAGAAGCAGGCTCCCTGAGGCAGGACTCCATCCCAGGACGCTGGGATTATGACCCGAGCCGAAGGCAGACACTTAACCAACTGAGCCACCCAGGCGTCCCATAAGATCTTTATCATTGTGCGTACTCTGTCATCTTCTCTGTCATTTTCATTCACTACCTGTACACCTGAGAGCACAGTCACATCATAACCTAACATCATAAATTATTTTTAAGCTAAGTTACACAAGTCTACATGGTAAAATAAAAAAAAGGGGGGGTGGTCTTCCCCAACTATTAGGAAGCAATGTTTTGTTTTTAAAAATTTTATTACTTTAGAGAGAGAGAGAGCTTGCGCGAGCAGTGGGGAGGGAAAGAGAGGGAATCCTAAGCTGACTCTGCTCTGAGCAGGGAGCCTGACGCGGGGCTAGATCCCACGACCCCAAGATTATGACCTGAGCCAAAACTAAGACTCGCACGCTCAACCGACTGAGCCACCTGGATGATCCTAGGAAGCAGTGCCTTAACACATTTATTTATACCAGCCTCCTGAGAAGCAGAGTGATTAAAACCAGATGCCAAGTATGGATATTTACAATATCCATAATATCATAGCTAGAGTAGTCATAGGCTTAAAAAGATTTGAAACCAAGTCTCAGTAACTTTTAGGTGCGAAACAGTGGATCTTAAATCCTACTGTGCCAGAACCTTATCCTTTGTAATACTCTTTGATTTCTTTGTGGGTAACAGCCAGTTTTATTACCTGCCCTGATTCTTCTCCTGAACTCCAATGCCACATTTCCAAATGCAAGATAGGTGCTGTGCAGAAAACAGTTAACACAGCTAACAGTTTCCTATCCTTAGAAAAGCCAGCTTGCAAGGTTGGCTGCTGTCCTGCATCTGGGGACTTGGACTTCAGAAGGGTTCCCACCATTCCTAGAACTGCTGGGGGGGTCTGCTATGCCTAAACTGTTTGAAAAACATGTGACTTATGTTAAACACCTGCTTTCCTTCTGCACACCTGGAATTTTGGTACACGCTAGGCAGAGGGTGACTTTGTGCCGGTTCCCCCAATAAGAACCCTGAGAACTGAGTCTCTAATGAGCTTCCCTGACAACACTTCACATGTGCTGTTACAATTAGCTGCTGCAGGACTTAATCAAGCTGAGTATGTAAATCCACTAGGAGAGGACTCTTGAAAGCTGTTTTCCTCTGGGCTCTGCCAGATGTGCCTTTTCCTTTTGCAAATGTTGCTTTGTATCTTTCCGTTGTAATAAATCATAGCTGCAAGTACAATTTTATGCTAGGTCCTGTGAGTTTTCCCAGGAAATCACTGAACTTGGACTATTCTTGGTGATTCTCAACACAGGTACTTACCAAGATGTCCTCCTTACCTCAAAATCAGAAGAGCCAATCCTCCGTATCAAATCTGCCCTTCCTCCCACTTCCCTAGTCCTGTTATTAGCATTTTACTAATACCACCTGTGGGCTCCCGACTGCAAACAGCAACCTTTGCCTTTTTCTTAAATCCTGCTCTTTATACTGCCATAATTCTCCTAAATCCGTCTCTTCATTGTCACTTCCACCACCCAACAACATACGCCCTCTCTGGGCTAGAGGAACAGCCACACCAATTGCCTTCCCTTCGGACATCACTCCTTCTAATATTCTCTGTAGTTTGAAAAATCTTGCCAGCTCTCAGATCTAATCTTGTCCCATATCCTCCCGAAAAATCCCCAGATCGACCAAATTAAGTCTCTCCTAATTTTTCAGTTAACGTTGCAAAGTACACTCTATACGATATTTTCTGTACAGCTACTATTACAACCTATAACTTAGGCTGCAGCAAAAATGAGTTGATTCTTGCTCTCTAGACAAGTCCAGCCCCTTTGTGCATTTTCTCCTAAAATGCCATTCACCTCTATCTTAAATGATTCATTCTCTAACATCCATTTGAAATTTAAACTTCTTCACAGGGAATTTCCCTGTTTCCTACTCATAAACATCCTCTCCCCACTCAGAGATCACTTACCACATTATTCTTACCATTTTCACAGCACTTCCCACATTCTCACCTTCCCATCTAGACTGTAAAGATTCTTCCTACACTCCACTGGATTTATCCCATAACATTTGCTGACAAACTGACAATCCTCCCAAAGTAATCAAGGATGACTGGAAAAGAAATGTAACTTAGCCATTAAAAAGTTAAGACTTCAGACTACCAAACACAAACTATTAAAATCAATAGTGCATTATCACTAAACAAACCTAAACTAAGATATAAGAACAGAAAACCAGTTTACACTCTAATTACCTTCCAGTTGAATGGATCTTCATTAATCAAAGAACCAGTATATGAAATTAAACATCACTTCAAACATAACGAAACAATTTGTAGGGCCTCCCGCCGACATTTGCAGTAGATTGAAACACTAAATCTAAACCTGAATCTCTTATTCTTCAAAGATCTACAAACTGCCAACCATGTTAAGCGCAAACCTAAAAATGTTTAGCACAAATCACTCAGAAAACAGACAAGAGAATCACCATCTAAATTTCTCCACAACCCTCCCCCCTCAAGAAGAGGATGCAACAGAAAAAAACATACAAAGTGGGAACAAATTTTGCTACAGGGCAAAAAAAAGTCTTTAGCCCAGATGAACAGAACAAGACCGACGTTAGTCTCTTTCGCCCCCGGCACAAATCAGGGCTACGTGATTCCCGGCGGCAAACTCTACGGAGATGTGGGCCACAAGCCTGCCCAACCCGGGTAGCTCCCTGGGCTCCTATTGGGGTCCGCTCGGGCCCCTGCTACGTTCGCCCCGCGGGGGCTGAAGCCACTGACCGACTTGACAGCCGCTTCCTGCTCGTCCACTGCCAGGGCCCACGAGTCGGTGGCCATGATCCGACGGGAAGGGAGGCCGACTCGCGAAAAAATTCACCGCACGCGCGCCAACACCTGCCCTGAGTCCCAGGCCTGCGCGAGAACCTCCCCCACACGGACCGGAAGCGGCAGTGCCGAAAGTGACGTAAGTTCCCGCCCTGCTCAAGGCGTCACTATTCCGCGCCGCGCCGCGCGGGGCATGCGCAGCGGTGTCGCCTTTTCTGGTCGTACGCCGCCGACGCGAGTCTACCTCAGACTTCTCCGGGAGCGTTCTCTTCGCCCCTTGAAGTCCCCAACCTCTGCTAAGTCAAACTCTTAGTCCTCACTTTATTGCCTTACTTCACACTGAAGTAACCCATGTTTTATTTTAAGCTTGTCACGTGTCTTTGTGAATTCTAAAGACTTAAGGTAAGTCCCGTGAGAATGCTGTAGATGACCGGTTTCTGCTGTTAAGAACGCGGTAACATGTAAAACAAAAATCAAAACGAAACCAAGAGCCGTAAGACCCCCATAATTCCACCACTCCGAGTAATATACACAGCAGCGTTATATTTTTCTTCTGGGTCCTTCCAGTCTTCATCCATATGCGTCAAAGCACGGGTGTTTTACCTAGACCTAAACAACGTACACATACAATTTTAAATTTGACTTTTTATTATATGGTTAAGTATTTTTTCATGTTATAATTATCGATTTCATGGCATAATACATCAAAGCCATATCACATAAATTACCTAACTCCCCTACCTCTGTCACCTTGAGGATATAGGTTGTTTCCAACCTTTTTTTTTTTTTTTTTTAAGATTTTATTTATTCATCTGAAACACAGAGGTAGAGAGAGAGGAGAGAGCCTGAGCAGGGAGAGAGGCAGAGGGAGAAGGAGAAGCAGGCTCCCTGCTGAGCCAGGAGCCCGATGTGGGGCTCGATCCCACGACCCTGGGATCATGACCTGAGCGGAAGGCAGACGCTTAACCATCTGAGCTACCCAGGCGCCTGTTTCCAACGTTTTATCATTAATATTCAGTGAGCATCTCCATACCATCAAAAATCACCTTGTTTGCTTTCGGTTTGCTTTCTATCTCTCGTATCCCACCCCAGAATATGAACTCTTCAAGAGCAAAAATTTTATCTCTTAGTCACAGCGAATTTGTGAACCTAGAAAAATTCATGACACATAGTAGCCTCTCAATAAATATTTTTTAATGTGTGGATGAATAGATTTAATAGAGATTTTAGTTCAAAATGTAATACTTTAGGACATTTTTAATTGCAACATTTATGTCAAAATGTATGAATGACTTGAACACTTTGCAAAAGAGGATAACGTGGTTAGCACATGAAAAAGAGCTGGAAATCACTGGTTATTTAGGAAATGCAAATCAAAGCCACAATGAGATACCACTGCACACTGCTAGAATGACTAAAATTAAAAACTAACCTACCATGTGTTGGTAAGAATATGGAATGTTAAAAAATTATTCAACGACATGGTAGAGATGGTAAGGCACACGGGATAGGTATAGGGGCCGCTACAATGGGATTTTTCAGTGAGGGTGAGACACAGCATGAATGAGAGGGAATTTATAGCCCAGGCGCAGGGTGGTGGTGGTGGGGGGGAGTGGTCAGTGGATGGAAAATTAACTAAGAGGAAACATAAAGGTGTAGGGGAATTCTGGTTAAGCTAACCTAACAGGATTCTTGCTGATGAAGGGTAAGACATCAGACATCACCTGGGGGATGGTGCAAAGATGAAGAACCTGTCAGATATTGAGGGTGACCAGATATCAAGTGTGTGTGGGGGGGTGGTTCTTGCTAAAATTGGATTTTAGGAACTGCACAGATAGGCTTAGTAGAAGGTTCAAGAACCTGACTAAAGTTTGGTCAAGCAAGGAACCTTTGTCAGGAGCAACTGGAACTCCCATAAGCTTATGCAGAGAATGTAAAATGGCACAGTGGTTTTGTATATTTGGCAGTTTCTCACGAAGTTAAACCTACACCTACTCTGTGACCCAGCAAATCTACTCCTAGTTACTATCCAAGAGAAGTGAAACATACGTCCACAGAAAGACTTGTACACAAATGTTTATAGCAAACTTCGTCAAAATAGCCCCAGACTAGAAACCCAAATGTCCATCAACAGGAGAATGGATAAACACATTATGGTATGTTTATTCATTGAATTACTACTTAGCAATAAAAAGGAATAAACTACTCATGATGAAGTAGGTGAATCTTAGAGACATTGTATTGAAGGAAAGATGTCAGACATAAGAGATGCAATACTGTAGGATCCATGTATATGCAAGTCAAAAATAGGAAAAGGGAAATCTCTAGTGAGAACAATCATCTGGGGGCAATGCATCTGGACGAGGGAAGGTTGAGCAGGACACAAGGGAACTTCCTGGGTGATAGAAATATCTTTTTTTTTTTTTTTTAAGATTTTATTTATTCTGGGGCGCCTGGGTGGCTCAGTTGGTTAAGCATCTGCCTTCAGCTCGGGTCATGATCCCAGAGTCCTGGGATCGAGCCCCGCATCGGGCTCCCTGCTCGGTGGGGAGCCTGCTTCTCCCTCTCCCTCTGCCGCTCCCCCTGCTTGTGCTCTGTCAAATGAATACATTTTATTTATTCATTTGACAGAGAGATAGAAAGCACAAGTAGGCGGAGCGGCAGAGGGAGAGGGAGAAGCAGGCTCCCCACCGAGCAGGGAGCCTGATGCGGGGCTCGATCCCAGGACCCCAGGATCATGACCCGAACCGAAGTCAGACGCTTAACCAACTGAGCCACCTAGGTGCCCCTAAATTTTATTTTTAAGTAATCTCTACACCCAACATGGGGCTGGAACTCAAAACCCTGGTATCAGGAGTCATATGCTCCATCGACTGAGCCAGTCAGGCATTCCAAAATGTTCTGTATCTTGACTGGGGTCTTGGTTACGTAGATATATAAATTTGTTAAAACTGGTGAAACTGGGGGCACTTGGGTGACTCAGTTGATTCCAGCCTGTCGTTGGGCTCCCCACTGAGTGGGGAGTCTACTTCTCCCTCTCCCTCTGCCCCTTCCCCCCTGCTTGTGCTCTCTCGGTCTCTCAAATAAGTAAAATCTTTAAAAACAGAACAAACTAGTGGAACTGTATATTTAAAAAGCCATTTTAATGTTTATAAATTATACTTCCCAATAACATTGATTTAAAAAGCAAAAAAAGGAATGAAGTAGTGATAAATACAGCAACAGAAATGAGAGCTTTGCCATCTCATAGACACTATGTTGAGCAAAAGAATCAGAAACAGAGTGCATAACATGTTTCCGCTTATGTAAGTTCAAAATAGGTATGTAGGGGCACCTGGGTGGCTCAGTCATCAAGTGTCTGCTTTCGCCTCAGGTCATGATCCCAGGGTCTTGGGTTCAAGCCCCACATCGGGCTCCCTGCTCTGCGGGAAGTCTGCTTCTCCCTCTCCCACTCCCCCTGCTTGTCTTCCCTCTCACTTGTCTCTCTCTGTCAAAAAGATAAATAAAAATCTTTAAAAAAGGAAAATAGGTATGTATATCTGATCTCTAGTGATAGAAATCACAACAGTGGTTGCTGGGGAATGGGCTGGGGTGAGTAGGACTGGTTGAAAGGACAAAAGAGAACTTTCAGGGGTGATGAAAATATTCTGTATCTTTTTTATTTTTTAAATGTTCTGTATCTTAATTGGAGTGTTGGTTACAAAGCAGTGCAATAAAAAAACATTTCTAAAAATACAGGTAGTAATTTGTACTGTAAAAACTGTTTGTGAGGGGTTTAGAATGTTTTCTCAGCTCTTAACCACTCATTGAAACAGAAGGCATGCACAGAAGTATGCCTTATGCTACAGAAGTAAGAATGCCAAATGCCATATTGTCTTCCCAAGTAACTAGTTTAATTTCCAGCATTCCTTAGCACCAATGAGTTGGGAAACTACATTGTTTATGAGGAGCCAGCACCATGGTCTAACTCTATGTGGGGCAGCAACCCTGGGGGAGACTGCTAATTGGTTTTCTGAGGAATGTTTCTTCTGTCTTACTATTGTAACAATGCTTAAAAAACCAACAACTAGATTTTGAGGCAGCTCTCCCTCCCAGTCTTTTTTTTTTTTTTTAAGATTTTATTTATTTATTTGACAGAGAGAGAGAGATAGAGCAGGAACACAAGCAGGGGGAGTGGGAGAGGGAGAAGCAGGCTTCCCGCTGAGCAGGGAGCCCGATGCGGGGCTCAATCCCAGGACCCTGGGATCATGACCTGAGCCGAAGGCAGACGCTTAACGACTGAGCCACCCAGGCGCCCCACTCCCAGTCTTTTTTATCTCAGATATCCATGCAGCAAACTCTCATGAAAAGCAAAAAAGAAAAAAGAAAAGCAACACCAACAGACTCAGTTTTAAGTTCTTTGGGGGCAGAGAATCTTGCTTAGAGCAAAATTGAAGTCTAGGTGTCCACTGTCCTCTTTTGATTGCTGTTTTTTTTTCTTAAGATTTTATTTATTTGACACAGAGAGAGCACAAGCAGGTAGAGCAGCAGGCAGAGGGAGAGGGAGAAGTAGGCTTCCTGCTGAGCAGAGAGCCCCACACAGGGCTCCATCCTAGGACCCTAGGATCCTGAGCTGAAGGCAGATGCTTAACCAACTGAGCCACCCCGGTGCCCCTGATTGCTGTTTTATTACAAAGTCAACTGCTCTATCACTGAGAGGGTGATACCTGCATTGTTTCCACTTAGACACAACTCAAGTTAAATGTGGTCTCTAGGGGAATTGAGGGTAGGACTTTTGCTTGCATTGGATTTGTAGGGTGTTTACTGAAATTTCTTTTTAGTTCACCACCTATACCTATTGGAAGGCTAGTGGGCATTTCCTTAGTCCAGGTGAGTGCTCTCAGGGAAGTGTAGGCTGAAGCTGCAGCTGGGACAATGAAACCAGCCAACCTGTTTTAGAGCAGCTCTGGGCAATAGGAATTTTTTGCCAAGTCTATTACTTTCCTGTCAGTTAGCATTTATATTCCAAAAGGAGGGCATCCAGCCAGAAGCCACTGAGAATCCCACTCTTCTGCAGACCAGAGACTTGACAGGAAGGGCAAATTCTCCTGAAGCTGCAGACTAGAGTCTCCTACCTTGAGTCTGATTC